CGTGCAGGGCGAAAGGTGATGCAAGATAACATGCTCCAGCTCCTTTACGGACGTGCATTTCTGGAGGCGTGGACGCTTGCGGTGTCGGAGTCCCCATCCATCTGGCATGATCCGTTAAACTGGTCTAGCACTAGTTCTTGTCGCAGCAGTTAGTCCAAATAGTAATACATCCGAGTCGAAGAATGAACAACTTCCTACTTCATCCGCCTGCTCCTACGTGCTTTGGATATCAGTTCTTTCATCCATTTCCTGCACTAGCTTATACTCTACTACAGACTCAGTATGTGGTGTCGTCGCATAAGTGTTGCTTTGTCTCACTTCCATCGCTGACGCCGTAGTCTGCTTCCAACACTCCGACAGCGTGTCGTCACAACAGTATCTCTGAAATACAAAATAGCTTCAGCTCGCGGCACGTAGTCTCGCGTTAATATCACTCACAAAAAAAAAAAAAAAAAAAAAAACACAAAAATCCAACCCACACACACACACACACACACACACACACACACACACACACACACACACACACACACACACACACACACACACACACACGCGCGCGACCCCTCGAGCTTGCCCTCTCCCCTCCCACACACATTTTCTTCACGACTGTCATGGTCATGATGTTACAATTGCCTTTGTCGTCGCAGTATTCAATACAGGAAGATGTCTTGCCCTTGTCGTCATGTCACACCATTGCAACACTACAAAAGGTGTGACTGACCGAGTTTGAGGGTGGAGGGGAAGCATGGGGTCAAATGTAACAAAACGGGAATGATATGAAAAATGAGTTCATGGACAACACCAACAATGTAACGGGTCGCGCAGGGCGAGACACCCGTGGCGTGTTGGCATGCGCAGTCAGCAATAAACTCACAGCAGGGCAATGGTCACGCGTAGATATGACGACATGTAACACACGCACACATGTGTACAGATTGCGATTACATGCACGAAAACACGCGAAGATTAAAGCCGAGAAAAGCACGCACGCACGTACGCACGCACTCTCACGCACACATACATACAAACACACACTCTCTCACACGCACACACGCACGCACTCTCACACGCACACATGCAAGCACGCATACACACACGCACTCTCACGCAAATAACACACTCGCCGACATGCATTCATGCACTCACACACAAGCTCTCTCTCTCATACTGTGTATACTACGCACACCAGCGTCCGCGCACGTGCTCATTACACGGTACCCCGTTGGCTGCGTTCTTCTCCTTGTAGCGACGATGCATAAAGGGCAAGTCGTCCTCTTGTGGAACGCACGCGGAGACCACTGCTTGGCATCGGCGCACGTACGCCTCCTGTGTGCTCTGGATCACCTGCGCTTCCAACTGAAGCACGGGCGTGATGCGCGCGCTAAACGCTGTCCGATAGTGGTCGTATATCCTGTAGTCCATCCACAGCACCTCGCGCGCGCGTGCCTTTGTTGCATCTGAGATGTCGGGCACGGGCGCATGCCACCGCTTCTGGTCGTTCCACACCATGTCCTCAAACTCGAGCCCAATGTACCGCCGCAGCATGGCCATGGACATGTACCACTCCTCTGTCAGCAGGACCAGGCTGATGCGTCGCTGTGCGGCATTGAAGGCTTCCTCGAATGCAGCCGGCTCCAGGAAGGGGTTGTCCGTGATGCCAAAGTCAAAGGCGTAGCTGAGCATCGTTTGCGCGCGTGTTGTCGTGGAGAGCGTCCGCGCAAAGGTGCGGTTGCCCATGAGGTCAAACAGCCTGTTCACTTCGCTGTCGGTCATGTATCTGAGGTCAAAGCCGGCCTCCCTTAGCTCAATGGGCAGGAAGAAGCGCAGGGCGCTGATGAGGCGCTTGAACGGGTCGCGCAGCAGCGAGAAGGTGGGCACGTCTTCGCCGAGGAACCGCTGCACCATGGCCTGGGAGGCCGCCGTGAACCGCATGTGCGAGATGCAGGCGGAGAAGTTGAGCTTGTCTGCGCCGTACAGCTGTCGTTCCGGGTCAACAAAGCTGTCGGGCCACCCAATGCACGTGCTGCAGATGGCATGGCCGTCGTCGCCAAAGGCCGGGTACAGGCCTCGCCTCTCCAGGGCCTGCCCCAACAGCACCATCAACGTGGATGACCCTGTCTTGTGTGTCTTGACAAACACAAAGCGCAGGTCAGAGTTGTTGCCATCCGTCTTCCCTCCTGCTTGTTGCTCAGTGCCACCAGCAGCAGCAGCGGCAGCAGCTAGCAGCAACACCAACGACGGGAGAGCAACAGTGAAGGCGAAGACGAGGCGGGGTAGCGTCGTCATCATCAAGGGCGGGTGCGCTCAACTGGAGCTCCGACAACACAAATTGCATCACAAGCGCGACCACCACCACCACCATCATGGTCCCGCCTGTAAAGATCTTTGGAGCGCTTTCCCGCCAAAATGGTTCTGTGAGTCTGTGCTGGTTTGATGGTTTGGTTTGAACGTCAACAAATGTGCGTGTTCAAACAACAGCGTCGGTAGGTCGGTGGTGCTGCTGCCGGTGTCTTCTCTCGCGCTACAGCCACACACAGACACACACACACAGACACACACACACACACATTTACACAACACACAACACACAACACACAACACACAACACACAACACAACACACAACACACAACACAACACACAACACAACCACACAACACTGCGGGTGATGGAGGAGCTGGTGCTGGGGTGCGCGGAAGCCGTTCAGGTACTGGAGGCAGGCGAGGTGGTGGCAGATGAGGTGCTGTGCGGGCTGGCTCATGCAGCACAACAGCTTGTGCTCGAGCGGTGCGGCGCACTGCACTCCGACCTGCAAACCGTGCTGGCACTGTGCACAGAGTTGACGGACACGCAGGCCGAGGTGAGGGATTGTGCAGCAGCTGTCACCAACAACAACAGCACCAGTACAGATGCTGATGCGCGTCAACACATGCAGTTGGCGCTCTTCCTTCTTCAGACGGCCACAACAGGGCTGAACGCGGTGCTTGGTGACGAAGCCACAGCAGCAACAGCATCGGCAGCAGCAGGAGTTATCAACAATGAGATTCAAGGAAGGCTGTCGAACGCAGAAGAGCGCACCCACCCCAACAGTCGACACGAGCAGTACATGCTCTCATCATCAACCACCACGCCTAACGACAGTGGTGTTTGGGAGAACAGTAGACCTACAACCTCCCAACCTGAGCAACTGCGACAGCACCAGCAGTACCACAACACCAAAGAGCACTCGCACCAGCACCAGGGCCCGCGGCCCAGCGTTGCGGAATCGTTACTTGCAGACGTGAGAGAGGCGCTGTGGGTTGCAGATCTCCCCAAAGAGATCAACCGAGGTGACGTGCGCGGATGCATTGCGTGGCTGGTCGAGCACGCACGCGGGTCACGTTGGGAGACGACGGACAGCTCCGGCAACACGAGCGAAGAGGAAGAATCGCAGGAAGATGATGGTGATGTGGTAGCGAGAGGCGAACGCGATCAGACAGAGAAAGCCACAGACGACGACGGCATTACGGCGAGGAACGACAAACAACAACGACAACATCAACAACAACATCAATGCGGGAGCGAGGTGGAGGGTGAGAAGTTCGCAGATCACATGCAGTGCGACCACAGATTGAAGGAGGAGGGGAAAAGAGGGTGCGTGCTTGTGGATATTGACGTTCACATTGAGAAAGAGGGTGTTACCACTGATCGGGCTTCGACAACAGCACAACCCAAACAACAGCAACACCAGAGGCGGCAGCGCCGCCACCGCCGTCGGCCCCGTCAGCAATCGCCCATGACCACTGCAGCCACACTCGGCGCCAACAACAGTGGCAGCGACAAGAACGGGGCGATATCCCAGCTGCAGATGCAATGGGAGAAGGAACGCGAGCAGATGCTGGAGACAATCAAGCAGCTTCAACAACAAGTGCAACAAGGCGCCCAACACAAAATGGCAGACACCACCACAGCCGCCACAGCCGCCACAGCCGCCGCGACTACGGCTGATACAGCCGTACAGCCGCCGTGCAGTCTTGATGACGGTGTATTGGACGCTCTACGCCCACACGAGGACCACATGCGTGCGTTCTTGCAGGACGCAGTTGGCGAGCAACACACGCTGGACAGCGTGCTGGCGGAAGTGTTTCGGTCACAGGCCTTTCTAGTCGAGTGCCACAGCAACACACTGCCACCTTCCTTTCTGGGCTTCATGCAAGCGCAGCTGGACATTGGACAGCGTGCCGTGCGCCGACGGCACAGCAGCGGCGTCAATTGCCTCGGGCGCATCACCGCCTTCCTCGCCTTGTATCAGCACCTCTGCGCAACAACGCTCGAGGCCCTACACAATACACGTATTGTGGACCTCCAAGAGATTGAAACGTGCGTGGCAGGATGGCAGAGCTGTAATCCGGCTTTGTGTGTGTGTGGGGGGGGGGGGAGTGCGTGTGGGCTGTTGTTACAAAGGTGTTTGAAGTGTTGATGTACTGTGTTGTTGCTGTGGTTGAAGGTTTTGGTGTGCTGTTTTGATGCTAGGCTGGTGATAGGGATACATGTGCATGCTCATCATTCACCCCGTCTAATGGCTTGGCCTTGTCACACGCTCACTTGCGAGGTTTGCAGGTTGCAGCGAACAGTAGAGTCGCTGCGAACACAGGTTCGCGAAGTCGAACAACAGGCAGTGCTCGCACCAACCAAACCCACGGCCCAGTTCTCGTCAACTGAATTTGATCTGTTGTTGCTCCACGACACAGACCGAGCACATCAACCACACATGTTAGCACCGTCACCGCCGCCACACAGCCGCCACCACACCGCCCAAAGTGTCTGCCAGGTAAGATGAAGCTGTAAGAGCAGTGCAGTGGGGCGACAGAAGTGCACGTTGTGTTTTCGCGGCATGGTGTTTTGAAGTGAAATGGCCATGTTGTGCCGAGTAGGTAGTGCTGGGGGAGGTGACATGTGACAGTACACTTGAGGGTGAGACCTGAAAGATGCGCGCGCATACACAGTCCATGCAAACGCAGCAATGTCTGTTTCACTATCTTTTTGCGTTGTGTCTTCGCCTCATGCCTGTCATGCCTGTGTGTTGACGCACCACAGGGCGTGCTGGCCGTGATTGGGGCCGTCATGTGCTTGCTGACGGCGATTCTTGGGGCAGTGGTCATATTCACGCCAGCCGCGGACCCGCAGCGCAGCTGTTACATTCACCAATCCGAATACATCCCACAATGACAGGATGACACACACTTGCACACCACACCCAGACAAACACATAATTTGCACTCACACATGTACAACATGCTGGTGCACGCGCGTGGGTGTTTGTGTTGGCTTGGTTTATTTTGGTTACACTGTTAGCACCGTTCGTTTTCGACACGCAGTTGCATACACACGGATCACGAACACACAGGGTACAACAAGTCACGCACAAGAAGACGCTTTCAGTCAACGCACAACATGCGTACACAGAGGGAGACAGAGAGTTATACACACACAGACAGACACACAGACAGACGGACAGACAGACGGACTGACAGACACACACACACACACACAGACAGACAGACAGACAGACACACATACACACAGGTAAGCACGTAGTCGGCGCGGTGTGTCGAGGGGTTCAAGCTGCTGTGGAAGTCTTCCAGAGAGCAAACACGGCCGGGTCATAGGTCACGAGTGCATATCTGCCGTCGCTCGATGCGCACACCCCACGGATGACAAACGACAACTTGTCTGCACGCACATCCCCCAGCGCACAGTAGCGCACAACGTCTTGCGTCTGAATGGGTGCGTGCGTGAGGGAGAGTGAGAGTGAGAGTGAGAGTGAGTGTGAGTGTGTGTGAGTGCTAGTGGGGCACGCGAGTGTAAAAGCTTGCGTGTGAGCATTCTTTGTTTTCGCATTGCAGACAGGTGTAAGCCACACCATCCCAACAGCGACGTATGACGCATCGCACCTGTGCCGGTTCGATGACATCTTGTGCGTTGACGGAAGTCGGGTCCACTGTGTACATGTACAGCGTCTGGGCGTGGCCGGCAACAACTTGAACGCCTTGTGGATTCGGAATGAGAGGGTGAGGTTTGGTTTGGGGGAGGGGGAGGGGCAGGCAGTATTCGTTTGTAGACATGAGCAAGAGGGGGCGCGGGGAGTCATGCAGGTAGGTCGACACAGATAGATAGAAAGAGACATACAGACAACAAAATGTCAGACAGACAGGCACACGCACAAAAACACAGACACAGACACAGAGACAGATACAGACACAGGCACAGGCACACACACACACACACAGCCACACACACACGCACACGCACACGCACACGCACAGAGGCACATAAAACACACAAGAATCGCACCTGTTGGCGTCGCAAAGGCGTCGAGGCGGAAGTAGTATTCGTTGAACTTTGGCCATTGGAGGTGACACACCGTTTCCAAGTGGTGGTGCGGACCCGTGAGCCGCAGCAGCGCAATGTCGCTTTTTGTTCCTTTCGCAACTGCAGCAGTGAGTGACAATGGGCAGGGAAGGAGGACGTCATGGCGTGTACGTCAGTGAGCGCGTGGTCACGCTTGAGTTGACAGCCTTCGTATCTCTCTCACACAGTTCAACACAGACAGACAGACACAGACACGACACAGATACACTCACACACACACACACAAATACACAAACAAACACCCACACACACACTCACACAGACATAGAGACAACCGCACTCCCTCCTCATCGCACCAAAGAGGTTGGTGCCGGGGATGTGGACAATGGAGTCGACGACGACGGATTTGCTTGGGAAAATGTCTGTTCGCGCCTTCAACGGCTTGAGCGCGCTCTGCAGAAGTGCAGATTGGGAGAAGGCGGGGGGGGGGAGGGGTTTGGTGAGCATGGTGAGAGAGGACAGGAAGGGCAAGGAAGCAGCTAAGCGACATCAGGTGGGGGCGAAAAGAAGCAGGAGGACAGCCAGACAGACTGGGTCACAGCAAGAAAACGCACACACACACACACACACACACACACACACACGTCCTCACACACACACACACACACACACACACACACACACACACGACGGTCGGGAAGAACGCTTATTCGTCGCATACCAACGCCAATACGGGATTGATTTGAGAGCTCACGTGACTGACGCGTGGTGCCGACCAACCGGAGCCGGACTGTTTTTTCCTATATAATGGATATATAAGCGTTTTTCCAACGCTATCCGGGAGAGTAGCGGGATCCGCTCGGCCCGAGGCTCCGAACCTTGGAGAACAGCTCAGAGTGGCTAACAGAGGCGTCTCTCTAAAAAGGCTGGCAGTCAGTGTTTGCCCCGATTTCCTGAGCCACGCCCCGAGACGAAGACGACCAGCACGCTTGAATGCGGGATATTGTTAAAGATCGGCGGGGTCGATGGGCATGATCGTCAAACATTTGTTATGCACAACTTTTACATCGAGACCAATACTAGTAATTCACTGCGATCGGCTCTACTGTTGATCTATGCCCTAGCACATTCCGTTGCTTTAAAGGAG